TACAACGCTATGCGTAGTTATGACGTTTCCATTAAAGTTCACATAGCCTTGCTTTCCCAAAAGGTATTATCGTCCAGAGTGGATTGCAGTTTTGACTCCGCCCAGGTCTTATCAACACCCCCAACGAGACCCCCGCTGGTGGTGTTGATAAGACCCGCTTTTCGGAAATTCATTAAATTATTGGCTCTTGTGGGCCAATATTCGCCAATAAGTTAAATAGTCTGTTACTTTCCCTTTAAAGCTTCACATTTATCATTCATTTCAGCTAGACTTAGAACATTCGGTTTAAAATCTCTTTTTGTCATAAATTAAGAAGAATTTGAGTCCATGAGGTCATTTAGATCCAACAACATTGTTGGGGAGATTCTTAGGAGATTCATCTAAACCCAGTTTCTCTTTGTATTCTCTGTAAAGGATTTCTAATTCTATGGCGCTTTGGGATTCCTCTCATTAATTTTTTTACCATTCACGATAAGGTAGGATCTAAATGACCCCATTGATTCGAATTCTACTTACTTTATGACAGAAAGTTGGTCAAGTGATTGACGTCATTTGTCTCTTTGACGAGTTGTAGCTTGGTGCTAAGAATGGTAAGACTCTTTGACAATTCCGGCAAAAAGTCTGGGAATGTACCAAGTCCAAGGTCTAGCGCTGGCAATTATTAGAACTAATAAAGCACAGTAGTCAATTTGCATGAAACGCGGTCAGGCCATTTCTATACAGCCAAAGAAGACTTCGACCAAAACGGAGGCCACAATATGTTTGGTTCTATTTATGAAATGTGTTCACCTTATTATATCAGGTTTTACCAACCTATCCCGGCCATGGTCTGGCTGGGGTGCTGATGAGACCTTAGCGAGGTCGACACCGCAGCCCATCCAGGATGAGAATACCTATTTGAACTTTAGTGTAAATTCAGATATTAATTCCTTTATAGATATGTGACATACTGGTTATTTCAAAAACCTGTTTATCAAACGTTGAATAACCACCTTGTTCTCGTGTGTTCCACTCATCGGCCGAAAGTCGAGATTCTGGTCTATCTTTGCAATGGTCACTGAAGGGGCGGAAATGTCAGACTCCAGATCCGGGTCTCCTGCAATTAGGGTTACATCCGTCATCCGGCTGTCCCGCAATTCGTTGCCTATCCGGCAAAGCAACTTGGAGGCATGATTTTTCAACACAAACTTCTCCAGCTTTCCACATGCCAAAAGACCAGGTGACTCCCTCCTGAGTTGTGGCGAGGAGGCCCGACGTCGCAAAGTCCCGGGATCATCTGGAACCAAGCTGTCCATAAACAAGGGCTCGCAGGAGTCTGAAGGAGCCAAAGGGTCGGACAGGCGAAGCCCAACCTCTTCGCGGGCCGAAGAGAGAGGGATGGCTAAGTGATCCTCTTGCGGAAAACGGTTAGATGGGGACTGCGGCGAAGT